GAAGAGTTTGTTTGATAAATGTAGATGCTCCATTGTTTGGGGCATATATATTTATAATTGTTAAGTCTTGTTGGTGTATGGTTCCTTTGAGCAGTATGTAGTGTCCTTCTTTATCCTTTTTGATTGACTTTAACTTGAAGTCTATTTTATTTGATATGAGGATGGAAACCCTTGCTTGCTTCTGCAGTCCATGTGAGTGGTATGATTTTTCCCAACCTTTCACCTTCAGTCTCCATAGACTGAGTCTATGTGGATGAGTCCTATGAGATGAATCTCTTGGAGGCAGCATATTGTTGGATTTTTTTTTATCCAATCTGCTAGTCTGTCTTTTGATTGGTGAGTTTAGGCCATTAACTTTCAGGGTTATTATTGAGACATGATTTGTATTCCCAGCCATTTTGTTTATTTTGGGTATTTAATGTGACTTGATTTCTCCTCTGATTAGATTTTCCTTTAGTGTAATCCCTCCCTCTGTTGATTTTCATTCCTGTTTTTCATTTCCTATTCTTGGAATACTTTGCTAAGGATGTTCTGTAGTGCAGGCTTTCTAGTTGTAAATTCTTTTAACTTTCATTTATCATGGAAGGTTTTTATTTCATCATCAAATCTAATGCTTAATTTTGCTGGATATAAGATTCTTGGTTGGCATCCATTTTCTTTCAGAGCTTGGTATATGTTATTCCATGATCTCCTGGCTTTGAGGGTCTGGGTTGAAAAATCTGCTGAGATACAAATTGGTCTCCCCCTGTATGTGTTCTGATTCCTCTCTTTTGCGGCCTTTACGATTCTATCCTTATTCTGTAAGCTAGTCATTTTCATTATAATGTGACTTGGCGTAGATTTGTTGTAATTTTGTAGATTTGGTGCCCTGTAAACCTCTTGTATTTGGTTTTCCAATTTCTTCTTCATGCTTGGGAAGTTTTCTGATATTATCTCATTGAAGATAGTGTGCATTCCTTTGGTTTGAAAATCTGTGCCTTCCTCTATCCCAATAACTCTTAGATTTGGTCTTTTGATGCTGTCTCATAATTTTTGTATGTTCTGTCCATGATTTCTAACTTCTTCACTGTGTAATCAACTTTATTTTCCAGATTGTATACTTTGTCTTCATTATCTGATGTTCTTTCTTCCAAGTGATCTAGTCTGTTGGTATGCTTTCTTTTGAGTTTTTTATTTGATTTATTGTATCCTTCATTTCAAGGATTTCTGACTGGTTTATTTTCAGAGTCTCTATATCTCTCTCAAAGTAATCTTTTGCTACCTATATTTTCTCTCTTATCTCTTTGTTGGAGTGATCAATTTTTCATCTGTATTTGCTCATTTAGGTCATTTTTTAATTCACAGATTATTTTAATTATGAACCTCTGAACTCCTTCTCTGACATTTCATCAATTTCACTGTCCATGGTTCTGTTATTGTAGTGTCCTGGTTTGTTTGGGGCACTTTCCTCCCTTGTTTTTTCATAGTGTCTATGTGTCTTCCTTTCTTGCAGTGTGGATCTGAGATATTATAGTTTCTTCCCTATATTCTTTTAGTACCAGAGCAGATTGTCTGTATCTCACCTTGATGTTGGGCTTCCAAATCCTGCTGGTGTCCCTCAATGTATGCTACTGCATCTAAAGAGGGTGGCAGCAATAGCCAAGGTGACTCATGATAATAGTTAAGGTGTCCCAAGATGGAAGCAATGTCTTACAGAGATGGGGTGAAAGTGTGGGCCTCACACTCCCTTTGGAATGCCTGGTCTGAGATGCAGCTGCTTCTAGGCCCTGTCTGCTGTCAAAAAGTTAGGGGCTACTATGTGGGGAAGGCTATGGTGATGAGTGCAATGTCCCAAGATGGCAGTGGGTTAGGCTTAGGCTTCCAGGTGTGTGTGGGGGTGGGGGGGTGCCAAATTCAGACCTGCTCTGAACCTGGGTCCTGTGTAAGTCAGTGTGGATGGATCTGAGCTGGTCCTGGGCTCCTGCAGTAGTCTGGTGTTCAAAGAGGCAGTCCTGTGTAGGAGACTGGGCTCTGGCAGGTGTCTGCCCCATGGTGGACAGGTGGACCCAGGCCTTCTGTGAGCCTGGGTCCCACACAGGCTGATGTGGGTGGTCTGGACTGGGCCTGGGCTACTGTGGTATTCTGCTGGTCAGAAGGGGCAGTCCTGCGCCAGAGGCTATGCCCCTGAGGGTATCTGCCCCACCAGTGGAGGGGTGGACCCGGGTTTACTGTGAGCCTGAGTCCTGCATGGACTGGTCTATATACCACATTTTCTTTAACCATTCATCTGTTGAAGGACACCTAGGTTGATCCTTCACAATAGTTTAGCTATTGTGAATTGAGCTGCTATAAACATCAATGTGTCTGTGTTACTATAGTATGCTGATTTTAAGTCCTTTGGGTATAGACCAGGGAGTGGGATAGCTGGGTCAAAAACTTTAATGAACCTAATTTGTCCATCTGTGATGGTAAAGGGGGTTATATAAGAATTTCTGTTAATAGGTCACTAGGAGTTTTTGTTGTATTTGTTGTTGCTTGTTCATTTGTTTGTTAGTATTAAGGATTGAACCCAAGGGTGCTTAACACTGAGTCACATCCCCAGCCCATTTTTTACTTTTTATTTTGAGACAAGTTCTCACTATGTTGCTAAAACTGGTCTAGAAGTTGGGATCCTCCTGCCTCAGCCTCCTGAGTCACTATGCATGCACCACCATGCCTGGCTAGTAGGAGTCCTTATTAGAAATATCAATAATCACATTTCATGGACAGGATAAAGAGCCATTCAGTACTGAGTATTTGTTGATAGAATGCCAGATACAGTCTTTTCTGTAACATAGACATCGTTTTAACATAAACTGAGTCACTTCTGAATCCCTAAATCATGGTGAGAGAACACCAAATTTTCTCTCCCCAAAGAGGCAACTATGGTGAACCCAAAGAGACATTTCTGTTCCTTAGCCCAAATTTTACATAAGGGACTAAAATGTTATACTGTTTGAGCTAGATTCATCAAAACTAATGAGCCCTTTGCACTTTATGGTTCTTCTTTTCCATCACAGACGATTATCAGTGATCCTCTGAGCCCTCCCCTTCCCAGAGCTGCTCAGGGGCTCAGCCACACAACTCATGCTTAACTGCCTCCTGATCCTTCTACAAGCAGCCCTGCATTTTTGTGCAGATGGCCACACTGGAAATCAATTCATCAGATGACTCCAAAGAGCTCAGTACAATTAAAGATACACAATCTGGAGAAATCCCAAACCCTGTCAATCTACCCAGTGCTCCCTGGGTCGACCCTGATCCCACGGTGGTAAAGGAATGACCTAGAAGAAGTGGGACAGGTTTGCTCCTGTTCAATTCTCAGTGGCCATTTTGAAACTACAGAAGGAGAACAGATGGAGAAGTAACCTCAAATGAATATTCATAAAAGGAAAATCAATTATCCACCTTCTGTGCCACCTGCCCTCTCAACCCAACTTAGCCCACAGCTGTGTAGGGCGGGGGTGGGGGTGGAGGGGGGCATAACCCAAATCACCTCAAAGGCATTCACAGAGGCCAAGAGTCCAATGCCAAACCTGGAATGTTGGCACACCTGACCCCCCAAAAATGGAACGTTTTGTATTTGTGACCTTTAAAACAAGAACCAATGCCATAGAAAGGCGGCATGTGGGGATGAAAAGAGGCAAAAATTCCAAATCAGCGAAGCTGGTCTGGGTCTCAAATCTCAGTACCGACCCTTAACTCCTGCCCTTAGCTCTGATTCAACTGGACAGGTGACCCACACTCTGAGCCTCGTTTTTCTCACCTGTACAGAGGGGATAATACCTCTTTCTGTGGGGTGGTGGAGTAGGGGGACTGTGCAGAGGGAGTAAATGAGAAAACAAATATGAAGCTCCATGCATGAAAAACATTCATTTCTCCTCCCCTGAGGATACTGTCCTAGGAGAGAGATCTGATACTCAAGCACCAAAACTATTCCAACTGACTGACTAGCAACGAATGAAGATATGGGAGCCCTAGACGCGTCATGGTTCCAATGTAAAACTTCTAGGGACATGAGACATATTTAAAGGATCTGACATTAATATGTCTCTTAAATATTTGTCAGTAGATCTGTTTAATAATGGCACAGATCCTTTATTCCTTCATCCAGATCTATACCATGGACAAGGGAATCTAGAGAGCTCCAAAAGTACAAATTGTGCTTTGAAAAGGATTCTATGAAATCATAGAAATGAATGGAAGGAGAGGTCCAGGACGGGGAACCCCATTTGCCCAAGAAGCTTTTTGAGCTTGGCAATTGCAGGCTATCCCCACCCCAGTCTTACTGGAAAGAAACTGACTGCTCTATCTCCCCTGCTCTGCCTTATTCTCAGGAAGAATCAAAGGAGACAGTTGCAACTCTGCTGCCCCCAAGGACATACACCCTGGCCCATACCAGAACCCTATTCCTAACCCCCGAAGTGAGACTCCATCTTCCTACAATGAAAACTCCAGCTCTTAACATACTTCCTTTAATGTGGAAAGGGAGGGTGGGGGTCCATGGGGGACACAGCAGTCAAAAGAGTGGGGTCCCGGTGAAAGAAAACCATTTTTATTCTTCAGAGCTCCTGATTTGCATCCAGTCCGTCTCCTTTTCTTTCTTCATTTTCCCAGTTTGTTAATCTGAATGTGTGTTTAAAAAAGCAGAAGGTGGAAGGGAGATGAAGAAGAGCACGTGTGACTGATCACCCCACCAGGTGAGCACTCTGGCCTCTGGATTCAATTCTGCAGAGTTGAATTATGCTAATCAAAGGCTGCAGAACAGCTTTCTTTCGTCAACCCATAATAGGCAGCGAGTTGTTTGGACGCACCAGAGTCCCTCCCTGGATTTCAGACAGTCCGACAGTCACTTCTCTCCCACAACCCCTCCAAACAATGACCACCTAGAGCCCTCTGGACATCACAATGTGTCACCCTCATCACAGGAAGTGGGACCAAGCCTGAGTTGATGTGGCAGGCCACCTACCTGTCCTCCCTCCCAACCAGCCTAAGACTTCATCACCATCCCCAGTGGCCATGGTGCCTCTCAGCTCCCAGACTCCCCCAGGCCTCCAAAAATAGAGACTGACCCTTGGAAGAGGAGGGGCAGGAAAAAGAACCTCTAATCCATTCTTACTGACCCTCTTCCCCAGAGAGGAGTAGCAGACTCTCACCGCCCATAAGCAGCAGCCTTAAGGTATCTACAACAGAATATCAGCTTCAAAACCGCCAAGCCATGTGTTTGAGTTGGAAACAAAGTGCAATTTTTTTTCTCAAACATGGATTTTTTTGGAGTTCCAGGTAGGAGGCAGGGGGGAAACCTTAGAAGAAGAAGAAGAAGAAGAAGAGGAAAGCAGGAGAAGAAATGGAAAGGTTAAGAAATAAAACCCTACTGTTTCCCATGAAGCCCCCAGCCAGGTCTTTGTAGAAGTTCACAGACACCCTCCTCCACTACAGCATGACTCCTACAGGCTCTGAAAAGAGCCCTGCAAAGAAGACACACCTTCTGCCCTGTACCTGGCTCTCTGAAACCCCCCCTTCATCTCACCCCTCTGCACACACAGTCTGGTCTCTGGGCCTCACCAGTAATGTGTATCCGCACCCTTCTTCCTACCTCCTTTCAAGTTGGCTCACATGCTGTATCACCCACCCTTCATCTGTCACACAGCCCAATTTCACCCATCAAAATTCCTTATGACCCAATAGGTTCCAAATTCCCTTCTCTGGGGCTTTGAGAAAGGGCTGTTTTATAAAGCACCAGGAGGAGTCCTTTGAACTGCAAAGCTGGTCTTTGCCAACACTGTCCCCTGGTTCTCTTCCATAACATTATCCTGCTTTCATTATTCCACAGAAACCCTGATGAAAGTCACTGGGGGTGACTAAAGCAAAGAAGGAAAAGCTAAGTCCTCACGCATCCTCCTCAGGAGATACAGGGTCCTTGGATGGCGGGCAGAGCTTTTGTGTGATCCTCAGGCTCAGCCCTGGTGCTTATCAGTGGAGCCTGATCCAGCTGGAACACCAGTGAGAGGCTGGAGGATTATGTAAGTGGAAGATGGATGTGCCCCCTGTGAGTAGTATGGAGGTCAACAAGTCACTTTGTTCAGCTTTAAACCTATGAGGTGTGACATCTTGGCAGACATGGAGATCGCCCTTATTTTCTTTTTGATAGTGACTCTGGACATATTATAGCCTGGCTCACTGTATATATTCAGACCCTGTCTGCCCCCGCCCCACAAAATGCCTTTCCCCACACAACTGTGACATTCTCCATTGGATCCTGCAGCCCAAAGCTAGGGACAGAGCCACTATTCAGGCCCTTCAGGAAGACCACTCAACTGCAGCGGAGAAAAGGGTTCAGTTGTCTACTCAGAAGGTTCAGGCAAAAGTGAGAATCCATGCTGGCTGGTTGGGATGGTGAGCAATCACATTAATGTTCAGTTTCAGAGGGGCCCACACTTGGCTTTCGAAAAAGCTGGCCAGCGACCCTGTCATCCCCTCCCTCACTGTCATGCAGGGAAAAGAGATTAAGGCTAAAATTCTACATCCTTTATCACACACTCGCACACATACTAAGTAATTCGGGGTAGCATGTACTACACTAACAGTAATTGGACATACTTAGATGTGCTTCTCGACCCCGTACCCTGGACCTCTCTCTTTCTCCTTTCCACCTCCAGTCACCAGCCTGTATCTAAAAACGTAGGATTCCCACTTAGTGAAATCTCCTCCCCAACTCTCACTAGCTATGGAAATCTCATAACTGCTTTTGCATGCACTATTACCTCCGCCTGGAATGTCCTTCTCTCCCTCCATGCCCTTTTGCCCAATAAGAAATTCCCACTTCCAAACTCAGTTGCAAGGCCTTCTCAGATTTCTGCCTCTTGCTGACCACCCCCTGCCTCCTGACCCTTGTAAGTTCCTCTCATAAAACAGTTACTGCACTCCTTTGCAAGTACATGTTCACACATGTCCTCCTGGGAGACTAACCTCCTTGAGTACAGGAGTATTTTAAGTCCAGGAGTATTTTATTTTATCGGACTTTATTTTATTGGTCTCTGAGCCCCAGCCAGCACAGCATTTTAGATGAACTGAATATATGCTTCGAGGCCGTGGTCTCTCTACTGAATGTTCGAGACTCTCCCATAACCAGCATCTTTTAGCCAGCGGTACGTTTCTGCCCTGTTTTTCAGAGCAGAAAGGGAACTCAGAAAGGCTGCCTATCACCCCTGGCTGGTTTCTGTCAAATCTCTCATTCTAGATAAATTTCTTAAATGAGCCACATAAAGGAAACCTTTTTAAACTGTGCTCTGAGACCAGGTTTGGTGGCACAACCTCTTTGTAACACTAGGATGGTCAATATCATGCTAGGAGAGGATCAGAAGGCACTGGAGGGGCAGAGATGTCCCAGGTTCTGACTTCTTACTAGTGGTGATATCCTCAGTTCTCTGGCCATCAACCTGAAGACCCCCAACCCCACAATTAGCTCCACAAGCCCCAGCCCAGCCCCTTTCCCCTGAGGCCCCTAGGCAGAAGCACTTCTCATTTGGGGTACCTGAGGAGAGGTGACCAGGGGAGCAGGATGCTACACCAGTCATCTTTACCCTGCTGGCTTCTGCTGGCAAATTACTGTCTAAGGACACTGGGGTACATTTTTTAACCCTCGGGGACCTTAACAGATGGAAAAGAGAGACAACTAGAGGGAATTAAGATAGGGGTGTCATAAAGGCTGTGGGGCCTCCGCTCATCCATCTAAACATCACTGCACTCCAGGCCCAAGGACAGCCAGCTCATCATCACAATCATCCTTGAATTTATGGGCCCTGGCCACCTTTCAAGCATTTCTCTTGGCAGAGATAGATTCCTACAAGGTGGATGATCTTGACTGTATCAACAGGGAAGAAAAAGAATATGAACTTGTACCTGATAGGGCCCTCATACTAAGCCCCTTAGCGTTTCCCCACCACTACCCCTTCCTGCCTCCTTCGTTAAAAATGGGAGAGGTGTTTTAAAGTATGATAAAAAGAGGATGTGCTCTGGGCAGCATAGAGTGAGGTTCAAATCTCAGCTGCACCATTAACTAGCTGTGTAACCTTGAGCAAATGCCTTGACCTTGCTAAACCTCAGTCTCTTCTTCTATAAACTGGAAAGGAAAATATGTAATTCAGAAAGCATATATAAAAAAATAATTATGATAATATCTGTAAAGCACCTAACAAACAAGTTTCCTACAATGAAAGAATCTCAGTAAAGGCTGGGCATAGTAGTTCAGGCCTGTAATCCCAGCAGCTTGGGAGACTGAGACAAGAGGATTGAGAGTTCAAAGCCAGCCTCAGCAAAAGCAAGGTGCTAAGCAACTCAGTGAAACCTGTCTCTAAATAAAATACAAAATAGGGATGGGGATTTGGCTCAATAGTTGAGTGCCCCTAAGTTCAATCCCCGGTACCTCCCCCCACCACCAAAAAAGAAAAAGAAAAAGAATCTCAATGAATGCTACTTCCCATCATTTTAACCCAGATTCCTATAGTTATTATATATGTAAAAATGGTTTCATGGTCAAATAAGCTTATAAAACTTTTTAACAAATTTTAACAGATTTTTTTAAACAAATTTAAACCAGGTTCTTCTCTGCGGACTTCTTAGAGCCTTTAACCTGCTACCATGAGCTATAAATCTCCAAGAGCTTCTAGTATCTTTAGGATTCCCCCAGGCCACTGGGACCAGTTTCTTTACTATGGAACATTACTAAAGGGCAATGTTCCTTAGTTTATCCTTTAAGAAATAATGTTTTAAATGAAAGAGAATATAGCAATTAAATTTCACAGCTTCTCAGATGTCCCCTTTTACTGAATTCTTAAAAGACCATTATTTCCCTTTAGAAAAGCCATCACCAAAGAAAATTCAAAGTCAACTTCCTTCCCCAATTCTACTGCATAAAAGGACTGCTTATCCCAACCCTCACTTTTTCTTAGATATTTACCATCCAGCACCATCCACTGCCTCAGATTTTGCTACTCTTCTGCCTGTGAAATTTCCCAGCACTTGCCTCCCTGGTGGGGGTAGGAGAACTAAAGACAAAAACAAATATAGTCGGTTGAATTGTTAAACACTTTTTTTTGTTTCTGGGTCTGATTTTATGCACCACTTTCAAATTTACACTAACCAGGGATTTCTGGGCCAATTTGTAGCTGCAGAGAAATTTCCAGGTACCTTATTAACTTTGCCGACCCCTGTTAAGAAAGCAGGCTGAAGACTTCAGTTGTCAGTTGGCAAAGAAAGGAAGAGAGAATCAGAACAGTTGAGCCAGAGAGCAAGCTACCACCAGAAAAGGGCTTGGGCTCCCCAAGGCTACAGTTTAGCCCCCCAAAATGAATTTTATGATCATCACTTCTATTCATCAATTATGGATCCTAGCCTGTTGTGAACCAGTCAATATTGCTGCAAGAGGATTTGCATTTGTAGAAGCAAGGAATTAATATGCACATCAGTCCTTCCAAAACTATCTATCGGGTATGAAGAGACACTATACTCACTTTCGTCCAATAATAAAGTCCTGCCTGGAGTTCTGCCGAATAGCTTTTCACTTTAGTTTGCGGATTAGACTCAAGGACAGTTTATCCCCTCATGCAGATAAGAATGTCAGATGGCTCACCTGCACCATCACGGTCCCTGAATCCAGCAGCACACTTAATCCTGCCGCTAAGTCAGATACGAAGCACGAGAATGTGAACTTGGAGAGGTGGACGAACTGGAGAAAAGGAACCTTGAAAAGAAGGGTTAATGTTAGCAAGGTTGGGTTTCAAAATCCCCATCTACTCCCACTCCCACTTCTTCACGGCTCCCTAGAGCTCCCTCCAGATTTTACCTTAGTAATATCCACCCCAGCCTGGGATAAGACACACTGAGAAACCTCATGTAGAATCTTATCTCCACACCAGCTCTGTAAATAGAAGCTTCCCATTAGCCAAATATCACTGGACTTGAAAACTATAGAAATGCTCCTATTGCAATCTTGTAAGATAATGTGTCATTTATCAAGGGCTTCCTATTTACCGTATACTATTCCACATGATTTATATTATTTTTATATATTCTGTGTAATTTGCAAATTTCATCCTCACAACAACCCAGTGAACCAGGTATATCTCTTATCCCTGTTTTGCAGAGGAGAAAGCTAAGTTATGTAAAGGTCAAATGCCTTTTCAAAAGTTTAAGATCAGGACAAGAACTGAACATACTTTTCTAAAGAAGAAATACAAATGGTCCCTAAATACATGAAAAAAAATGTTCAATATCTCTAGCAACTAGAAAAATGCAAATCAAAACTACATTGAGATTTCCACTTATTCCAGTCAGAATGGCAATCATCAAGAACACAAATAATAAGTGTAGGTGAGGATATGGGGGGGAAAGTAAGCACTTAATAAATGGTTAATGCTTACATTAATTAATCCCACATCTTTTTCTTTTGGTACAATCCTGCTTTACAGGTAAGAAGCTATGTTTTCTTTTTGCCCTGGCTTATAGTCAAGAAGTTACTTCATCTTTGCAACAAGCTTTCGAATTCACCAAAACATAAAAGGAGACGAATGGCATAAGCCATATCCCAGCCAAAGCTCTCCCAACCAGAGACTAAAACCTCAAGAGGGGATTCAGGAAACTCCCTGGCAAATCAGTGTGAGACACTTTCAGCAATGATCCCCCATCAGGTACCAAAGCACAAATAAGGTTGGAGAGCCTCTTTCCCACCAGGAGCCTCTTCTCACCCTGACGGCCATTAGAAGCCCCTGGGGAGCACTCAAAATATAAAGGATGCTCAGGCCCCACCCATGCCCCAGATGCTGGTTCTGTCCAGCCAGTGAAGGACTCCAGCAAGTGAGCACCTTCTCAGAGCTCCCAGGTGGTTCTGACGGGCAGCCAGGCTGAGCTGGAGGGTTGGGCTCTGAGGTACTGCACAGTCTCCCAAAGCTTCCCTGCAACCACAGTCCCAAGGATGAGCCTCACTATGGAACGCTTCTGTTAAGTTTCTCAGGGAACCTTCCAACAGAGGGTCGCTGACTTCTGCCCACAGAAAAGGCAGATAATTGAGGTGAGTCCACAGTAGATAGAGTGC